CCTTTTAGCAACTTTTTTTCACGATCGGGGAATATAGCCCATTTTTCATTAAGCAGAGAGAATTACACGACGCAGCTACGAGAAAACCCTCATAGCACAGATTACAAACCACCAAGCTAGTGGTGAGTAACCTGGAGTAGAAACTACGAACAAGAAAAAAAGATACAAAAGAGGGCGACTGCCCACGACACCTAAAACCTACGAACTGAGCCTGTAAGAAGAAAGATACAACATCGCAATGGTCGCCTACACATAAGACCGTCCAGCAACAACGGTGGCAAAGCATCCGCCAACAAACCAAACGGCGGCAAAGCATCCGCCAATGAACCAACCAGCGGCCAAGCATCCGCCGGGGAAATAGCGAAGATATCCACTATGGCAAAGCATCCGTAGCGGGGGAAGGGCCAGGTCACTCTCGGCAGCAAAGCATCTGCCAGAGAGGAGGCCAACGACAATGGCGGCAAAGCATCCGCCAACAACGGCAGCAAAGCATCTGCCAACGAACCGACCAGCGGACAAGCATCCGCGGGGGATAGCCATTAGTGGCAAAGCATCAGCTACGATATCCACGACAACAAACAGGGTAAGGTCAACAGTTGCAGGACATACCAAAGCGAGTCGAGATGAACCGCAACAGGCACAGTGAGGGACTCCTCAAGGAACCGACGGCAGGAACTAGGCTGATTCTTCAGCGGCGCCTTCAGGAAGGGGAGGACGTCCATGGCAGTGACATGGACGCCGTCGCCGCTAGTCTTAGAGGCCTCTAAGGCAGGGCTTTCGCCCAGAACCCAGCACTGGTGGAACAAGAGCAAGGGGCTCGAGAAGCACGCCTCGAGGTATGTATGGCGCCAAAGGCGTCACCGTCGTCCGCCCAGCCCACTACCGGACTGACCTTTCACCCGAGCACCATGCATCCGAAGCACCGCCCCCACAAGGGGGAGAAACACCGCGCCACCATCCGCAAAGCAATAGATCCGGGCGGGAGGCAGATCTGGAACCGCCCGCCGCCGGCCGTTCACCGGAGAAGGTAGGTGTCGGGATGAAGTGACGGCCGCAGCCAACCCTAGCCAACCGCTACCCCGCCAAGATCCGGCAGCAGCGACGGGCGGCGGCGGCGTGGAACCGACCACGCCCGTAGGCGACGGTGATCACGGCAACGGAGACGACGCTTGGCGGCCAGCTCAAGCGGTGGCGCTTTGTCCCCGACGGCCACAGGCGTGGTGCGCGCCGCCGACATAGACACCCGACGTAGCACCCCACGCCTCATCGAGGCGGACGCCCGTGGAGCTGAGGGGCATGGAGAGGTGGCCCACCACCCCCGGCGCCGCTGGCGCACCAAGATGGCCACCATGCCGCCAACCCCACCAGGGAGCGCCTAGCTGCCCCCAGATCAGCCGCCACGGGGCTAGCCCTACCGGCTGCCGCCGAGGCCAGGCAGCAGCGCCGTAGCCGCTGTTCGGCGCGTCCACGGCACCTGCAGACATCGACGAGCGCAAGCAGCAGCAGGAGGGCCACCGCCGAGCGCACGCCACGGCTGTCTAGGGTCCAGCCGCTGCCGCCCAGGCAAGAGAACCAGCCCCGCCCGGGGTCCTAGGAAGTGGATCCGCCTTAGGGGCCCGGATCTGCGTGGCTGGAGTGCTTTTAGCAACTAACAGATGAAGTTGACAAGGAGTGCAAGATGTCTGATAATGTAAAAGAATATTATGAGATTGTCAGGGTACAAATTTTGTAGGCCTGTCAGCATATGGAACTTTCCTATCCTTTTATTTGGATCCTATTGTTTCTTTCCAGTTTTCAGGAAAAGTACAAGCAGATCATCCACGTACAATTCATTGTACTACGCATACTTGAAAGGTTAACTGATGCTAGATTGCAGAAAATGGTCATAGCCAAATATCTGATAGGTGGAAGGCAGGGCATAAATAGTAATGTTCTGTTTCTCTGGTTTAACTTGGTTAGCACTCGTGATGATGTTGAACCTAAATTGTCTTGCAGTGAATGTCTACTCTCGTTTTGAACAGTGAGACTGCATTTCGCCATTTCCTTTAACTTGAATTATGACTATTATCATGCTTCTCCCAAAATGTAAATATCACATACTCCTTCCATCCCAAGAGAGTCAAAGTTTTTCAAGTTTGACCAAATTTATATAATAAATAAGATAATAATATTTATGATACCAACTAAGTATTATTAGATTTTTTATTAGTTATATTTTATAGTATGCATATCTGATGTCATAAATCTTTGTGTTTTTCTCTATAATTTTTTGTCAAGCTTGAGATGCTTTGACTCTCCAAGATTTTTGGAATGACTTATAATTGGAACGGAGGGGAGTAGTAAAGTTGAACCGATGATCACACGGAAAAAAAAAAGGTCAATTCGTGGTAATTTTTTGTATCTGTTATGCAGGCATTGTAAATTGTCGTCTTATTTTTATTTAAGAAGATGATAATAACATAAATTGCCCAGTAGATGTTGTTTTTGCTAAAAAAAAGGAGTAATACTAATTGGTAGATCTTTCCACGGGTACAGTACAGCATGTCGCGCCTGGCCAACAGATCACTAAACCCATAAGGAAGATGACACCTAGCAATGCTCCAAATACTAACATCTGCAGGGCTTGAGTCCATGTCATCTTTGTTGTGGCAAAGTTTTGTACGAAGAAAAACGAAGAAGAAACAACCATCACAATGAACAGAATCTGCAGGCAAATTAATAATTAAAAAAACGAATTAGTATCATCGATCGGATCGTATGCTTGGGAAAATCAGCCATGTAGGGAGGGGTTCACCTTCATCATGGTTTTAGCACACCAAGTCAAGCAGTACTCAAAATGCGGGTGTTTCCGGTTTGCTGGATGTATCTCCTCCTCAACGACGACCGTGCGTCCATCCGATTTGCGAACGGGGGTTCATTCACGACAGGGATGTACAAAGCTACGTGATCGTGAGATGAAGGGTTGCCGGATCTCCCATCTCAATTCCGTCGTTCTGGTGCTGTGGTGGTGGCGGCAGCGGCAGCGGCGGCGGCGCCCCGACGCCCGGGAACCCGAGCATGGTCTAATCAAGAGAAAACAAACTAGATATGGGAAATATATATTAGGACTAAACCTTCTTCTCCAGAGGCGGCGGCGGCGGCGGCTGCTTGACTCCTCTGCTATGGCCTCCGAGGTCGGCGGCGGGCCGGGCGCGAGGAGGAAGGACCTTGTATGGGTCGCAAAAACGGACGTCGGTCCCCTACAATATATACTACGGATAGGGAGTATAAATATAAATTATGATGATCGCCAAAACCGCATCTAACCGTACCCGGTACGTGGGCAGACAGAGACCCACGGGCACGTGGTCATTATACTATTATAGTAGTATTATAAACTAGACTTAGACTAGAGATTGCAGTAAGATAAAATTCCTAATAATAGAGATTGCTGTTGACTTGTTGTGAGATAAGTACTGCTACAAAGCATCGATACATTGTACTAGGCACGTTTGGATGATTGCCATTTAATTCTTTCTATAATTAACAAGATAAGGGTTGCTGATTGCTGGATTACTCCTTGCTATCTACAACTAATATTAACTGAGAGGTACATGCGTCTTTGCTACTCCTGGTAATGTGTTCTAAAATCTCCAGTGGTGTCTAGCGTTGGCTAAAAAGAAAATCGTTTCTTTTTATATTTGGATGTGAAATACTTCGAGTAAGTTTCATTTACCCTGGGCGAAGTGCTCATGAATTTTTACGTCGAAATAGGGTTAACATGCCTTTCTTGGCACTCAGGAGTGTTTACAAGTTTCATTTTTAACACAAGGGGTTTTCCGAATTTCACAGTGTAATAAAGTTAGTTAAACTTTATTATGCCATACCCTTGTGCAAAAAGTGAACATACTCGCACAACGGAAATACTGGAGTAAAGTTTTTTTTAGCAAAAAATGCTGGAGTAAAGTTTTTTTTTTTGAGAAACCGGGTTTGTATTCATATATATTTCATAAAGTTTACATTCCAAGACTTGCAAAGACACCCTTGAAGAAAGGAAAAATTTCAACATAGTCCTTGCACAGACATCCTCCCGGTCGGCCTCGTCACCGGCGGTCGAAGCAACTTGGAGCTTGAAGAACACAAGCTTTAATTGGCACCAAAAGCAGTACGTCGAAATCATCGACATATTTTGTGACCGCTGAACGCCTAGGCCGAAAAAGATGGCAGCTGGCCATCACATCGTTGGAGTACAAGGAATCTGGCGTCTCAAGAGCTACCAACAATCCCCACACGTCGGATGGCGGCACACCCAGGAGGGGAATGAAACCACCAGAGCAGGTGGTAGGTAAGAACCAACCCGGTTTCACAACGAGTCGTTAGACATACCTCCCAAGATCTTCGCCAGAGGAGTTCGTCGGAGAAGATGAGGGAGAGGCAAAAGGCGAACTTGACATGATCCAGAGGAGGCACATAACTCCAGATCCGGCGAGCTCGTGCTCTTCACTGGTACGGTCACCACCAGCGAAGTCGAGGAACCCGACGTAGATGTCGGAGCCGTCCTCCGCACGTCCACATCGTCACCCGCTGGAGACGCCGCCTAGCAAGACGAACCCACGCCACAGCGCCGGTATGGGAAACCTAACCCTAATAACTTATTTAACCTAAACCTAATAAGTACGGGTATATACAAATCCTCCGTTAATTCATCTAGCCCCCCTCCTCCTCCGACGCCAACGAGGGCGACGGTGAATCGACGGGGGAGCGTGAGATCGCCCCTGGTCGCCTCTCTTAGCTGTAGCGCTGACGAGAAACGAGCCAACAATGGACATAAATGCTGGAGTAAAGTGACTAGCGGTGCCTTTTATATTGTGCAATTCATCGAAAGGGCCGGCCCAGCCCATATTGCATAGCCTAGCCCAGTCCATAACCGCAGCAGCACGTGTGCTTTCTGCAACTCCACTCCACTTCGCCGGCGGCCGAGTCGAACAGATCCACCGAGCCCCCATCCGCCTCCGACGGCGATGTCCTCGTCGGTGAAGCGTCAGATCGCCGGCGCACCGGCATCGCAGCTGGTCTTCCCCGACGAGATCCTGGAGGAGATCTTCCTCCGCCTCGACGCAGTGGAGGACCTCGTCCGTGCCTCCGCCGCCTGCACGGCCTTCCGCCGCGTCGTCTCATCGCGCCGCTTCAGGTGCCTCTACCCCGCGCCCGTCCTCGGAGTCCTCGAGTTCGACGCACCGGGAAGATTCCACCCGGCGGAGCCGCCCCACCGCTCCGCCCCTGCCGCACGCGCCCTCGCGCAGGCCGCCGACTTCACCTTCTCTTTCCTCGGCGCCTCTCACTGCTGGCAGATCTGCGACGCCCGCGACTCCCACGTCCTCCTCTACCGGCGCGTCGGAGTCACTGGCGCGTTCGCTGACCTCATGGTCTGCGACCCCTTGCTCCGCCGGCACGTCCAATTACCCGCCATCCCCGACGACCTAGCGGCTGCTACTGGGGGTTGGGGCATGCAGGAATTCGATTCCTTCCTCGATCCATTCCTCGATCCAGACAGTGACAAGGACAAGGAGAAGCCGGATTTCTCATTCCGGGTGATTTGCGCTGTGCAGTGCGAACACAAGCTCGTGACCTTCCACTTCTCTTCAGTCACCGGACAATGGCGAGGCATCACGTTCAATAGAACAATTCCTTTGGACCCTTTCTTTGTTTCGTTTCAGAAGATGTTTGAGCGCCATTATGCACACGGCTTCATCTTCTGGACTATCAGTATTGTCAGCAGTTTTATGGTCATGCTCAACTTGAATGATATGAAACTATCAGTTGTTGACCTCCCTCCTGACAGTCATGGTAACCCGCGAGCACGGGCCATTGTGGAGGCAGGGGATAGGTCTATTCACTCTTAGTGATAGCATGCTACAGCTCCACTATAAGTCTTTGCGAGGCACTGAGTGGCAGCACGAAAGGATAATCCCCTTGCCCAAGCCAGACAGTTACTGGAACATCGTTGATGCAGCTGCAGGGTACTTACTCCTAAAAGCGGCACCACTGGATTCTTCGCAAATTGCAAAGTGGGAGTCACAGTATTTCACACTCAATCTCAAGACATTCCTTGTTGAGGGGCTGTGTGTTTCGAATAATCAGTACACTAGAGGTGCTCAACTGTATGCGACACTGCCAAGCATATGATACGGTACAGACCTTCCTTTTTTCCAAATCTGGAATTAGTGTTTTTTATGTGCTCTTGCATCCTATGTATTCTCATAGCGCACTTTTGTTTGGTGCATCATCTCAACTTAATTGCATGGTTGTCACCATGCTAATCTGCTGATTGACTGTTTATTAGTGGCATTACTGCATTTTTGTGTTTTGAACAGCTGAACAAATATGCAATGGATTAATGATTATTGCAGTATTGTTCAGCAAGTCAGTGTCAATCAACATGTTTCACTACTAACTTCAGGTTTTAACTTTAATAAAGTCAGGTTTTATATATCACTGGCATGCAATGTATACTTCCATATATTCCTCCATTTCAAATGTAAGGTGTGGTTTGGCTTGTCACATTCTCAAAAATAAGATGTTGACTATTAATTTATCCTACTCTACAATGTAATCATAAGCATAAGAAAGTACTTTCAAATGTGAAATCTAGTGATAATTGATACTATTTTCATAGAATATTTCTTTGTCTTGTTAGACTAATTGTTCATTGAAGATTATGATGTTTGAATCCTAAAAAGTGTCCACGCCTTTATAAAGAGAAATTCAGGCGTAGAAGATGTGTATGCCCTCAGATACGAATGAACGAAAATGCAACTCATGGCCATATGCTCACACATCTATAACTATAATAAACCCATGGAGTGCTTAGATGTATAAAAAAATTGTATTTGTTAGTGGTCCTGAAGGGCAGGTCTGGTGCAAGCGGTAGAGTCTTACCACTTTGTGACCGGAAGGTCCGGGTTCGAGTCATGGTCTCCTCGCATTGCACAAGCGAGGTAAGGCTTACATCGACACCCTTCCCCAGACCCGCACAGAGCGGGAGCTCTCTACACTGGGTACGCCATTTTTTAGTGGTCCTCCATTTTACATATCTGCATGTCTCCTACACAAACTTAATGGAGACCTTGAGCTATAATGTTTGATAGACTTGGCTGCGTTACAAGTTTCTTTGTATCATTTTAGCCTTCTCTGTTGGCTTTGAAATCATCAAGTATTAGGCAGATAGACTTCTGTGTTTGTTGCAGTTACTGGATCTAATCTGTCAGCCCTCAACCCTCACGCATATCTTTACATGAATTTCAATTCACGTCTCCAAACACAATGAATAGTTTGTTTGAATGCACATGCCTGGAGACAGTTAACATGGCTTATTTGGTAGGTTTTTTTCGTGCTGGTCCTAACATTTAATCTTTGGTAGGTCAGCATCTCAACCAGGACTTTTCAAGGTGATATTGCAATGTCAGTCGGTAACATCTGTATGGTGCCTTGAAACATTATGCATGAAATATGCTAATGCTGATAGTGATGACATCTATCTAGTCTGATCAGCTGTTTTGGCATTCAATCAAGGCACTAAGGAGCCCTTCTAACTGATCTATGCTCACAAATTTGTAACGATGGCTCATGGAGATTTGTCCAATCAGAAACTGGGTATAGTTATAATGAAAACTATTGAAATAGTTATATCCATTCCTTGACATTAAGTAGGCCTTCTTACTTACTAGCTTCTATCTGTTGCTTTTGAGACTCCTATTGTTTGTCCTTAATTCGCAGTAGAATTGCAACTGAACTAATAGCAGCTACAGTTGTGTGATATTTCCTATTTGTGGTTGGAACAAGGAAACTTTATGGTAAATAGTATAGTTATTGCAGAATTTTTCACAGTTCGGTTAAGTCAATTTAAATCATCTGCTGAGACTCAAGGTCTGTGTCAAGTGGCTTGTCTTCGTGAGTGCGAATAACCTTCCTTTAATCTGGTTATAATCATTGATTGGTTTCTTATCATCTTCATTTTTGAAATGTGTCATCAATGGGGGATTTGTTCTTGTAACATGGAAAAAGTTGGGGTATGCTCTGTGAAAAGAAAAAAAAAAGCTAGTTTCTCAATATTGTGTCGAAGTGTCAAACTATCCCAGTCATCATAAGAGTGTGCTGGCGATACATGCAGTTAAGTTCCCTTGATATCACTGGTCAAGAGAAGTAGGTAATCTTTGGCCTTGCAATTGTAGATGGTATTGGTATCTTCAGCCCTGACTCATGAATGTATAAATAAACCTGTGGATAGCTTAATTGTACATGAAGTCATATATGTTCTATTCTTCTGTCGATGTGTGGACTTTCCCTTGTCTAGTTTCTACACGAGCTTCCTGGTGAACTTTGACTTATCATGTTTGGGAAATACATGTGCCCTTTTCAACTTTCGGTTTGTCACTTAATTTTGTGTGTACTAGTCTGTTGGCTACATTATTTGTGGAGTATCATTTTTGTCCCCTGTAGCCTATGTAATTACTTGAGGAGTATCACACAGAATTTTGTCCGCCTGCTAATGTAGTCAGTGCTGCAATGCTATACACCTGTTAAAACAGTAACAAATTCTGGCATAGTATGGAACCTGGTCCTGTTTATTATTTTTTTTCCACACTTTGGATGCCCAAATGGAGTGAGGCTTTATTTGCTGGCGTGTTCGGCTGGCCACAATCGGCTGGCTGACCAGTTTTTTTTTTTTCCAGCCAAGCAGTGTTTTTCCTCACAAAATTTTAGCTGCTACAGTGTTTCCAGCTACTACAGTGCAACATTAATGCCAGCCGAGCACTCCAAAGGTCTGCGCTCAAGGTCCTGTTTATTCATATGTCTGCGCTCTTTGACATATTGATCAGGAGTTCAGGACTCTCAAGGACAGAGCACCAATCAGGCGCCCTCCAGGTCACACACACATGAATGTTCTGTGCTAAGCTGCTCGTGGTTACTCGTTAGTACCAATATTTGTGCATTTCAGGTCGACCTCACCGATGAATGTTGTGTGCTGAAACTGCTGGTAGTGTGTACCAATGTTTCAAAAGGCACTGTAGTTTTTCACCGATGAATGTCAAGCTCCTAGCATCACCTAGGTAGGACTGAGTGGTTGAACTTTCTGCAAGTGCCTTGAGCGATGCTATGGTTCAAAATTTTGGCGAAATTTCAGTAATTTCAGGGGTAGCTGAAAAAAAATATCAAAAATTGAAAACACTGATGCCATGTAAAATTTAAGAGGTTTGATATATGTTAGGAAAAAAAAAGTTTGACATCGTATTGCAGGCGTGAGTTCTATGACCATAATTATTTTCCCTATCTGTGATTTATCTCATTCTCATACTTAGACCAAGTCTGGAATCACCGTAAAAACTTGTTTGGATGCACTCGCATTAACATAAATCCTTGTCTGTTGGTGTGGATTATGGTGAAAATTAAACTAATTTGCATCTCAATTTAATATAATACATATGGATTAAGGTGAATACGAGTGCATCTAAACAAGGTCTAAGTTGGAAAATTCTGAGTGCATCTAAAAAAGGTCTAAGTTAGGAAAACCTAAAAAGTGTCAGCTTGTTGAAACAGGGACTTATCAAGTGTAACACATCTGGTGTTACGATCTTGCTTAGTGCTTAGATTAAGGCCTAAAAGAAATTAACAAAAATAAGTTTTCGGGTGTTAAAAATTTTAAAACTCACAAGAAAGGATAATTAAATTGTAGGTCTTATTTTTTATGAGAAGAGAAGCGAACGGGATATTGCGAGTTAGTTCAATTAATGTGTAAACATGTTTATGAAATTCTAATAAGAAAAATAGGATAAGTTGTTTTAGATGTTCGGCATGAAAAACGGTTTCTGTAAATGAAAATGTGACAAAGCTTCTAATTAGAAAGTGCCATTTTTGAAGAATTATAGTGTGCAAAATACTTAAATAGTGCTTTAATATTTTGTTCCCACGAGTTAGTACGAAATATGGACTAGGTCAGGACATGTTGTCTAGTTGAAATTGACGAAGTTCCGACCTTTTAAAAATTCAATCAAAGGTGTTAATGGTCGTTTAGTTCAAGCGGGACTCTCGTCCTTTCTAAGTCTGTAACGATAATCGACATTGCCATTTTGGCATTTAAAATCAACAAAAATGATTAAGCAATATATCTATATTTTTGCACGATTGGTTGCATTTAGGTGTATACTAGAACGTGGTGTAGGTCGTGGTTACGTTAGAGTTACGATGCTCATGCAAAAAAAATTGCCGAATTTCGTAAGAACGCACTGTGAGCATGTGGTTGGTGCTCTGTTCGCGAACCGAAGTTTCAACGACGAACTGATCTTGGCACTCGTTGATCTTCCTCTATAGTCACTCTCAGAACGTGGGATTTGCTTCGCTAACTAGTGGATAGTGCCGGCTTTGGGTTAGAGTAATTGGTTGAACTTTAGTCGAGTTAGTCAATAGTTTTTTATTTGCTTTAAAACTCGCGCACATCACCACTCACTCTGCTTGGCTGAGCCCATGGTCACCGTGGCTGTGCACGCATCGCCACGCTTATCACTCCTGGTCGTGGTCGCCGCCTCTGGGCGTTTCTCGGCAGCTCTGCACCGCCGCGTCGTCAGTTGTGTTTGGTACCGTCTCCCATGGGCCCAGGCATTTATGCGGTGCTACTCCCGCGCGGCTGCCGCTAGGGAGCTGCCGACCAAGCCGTGCGCGGGACCATGCCGGCACCACGACAGTCATCTCTTGGCTGTCGTGGCTTCCGTTGCGCCACTCATTTGACCAACCCACCGAGTCACCATTTGTCTTGGCTGTCTCCTAGTGTTGCCATCTCGCCACCGTAGTCCGGCCATCCAAGCGCCTCTGTCGCCTGGGCACGCGGTGCCAATGCCTTTGCTTGTCC